CAATCCATCAATCCATTTGTTTCTGCGCCTGCGGCGGGCCAATCCAATCCATCGCACGTTATCCAACCCGTCTCTTCCAACCTAACCCATCTTATCTTATCCAATCCATCTTATCCTATGCAATCCAATCCGCCCTACACAATCCATCGATTAATTGTTGTCGGCGCCTGCGGCGGGCTTTCTTGTCCAATCCAGCTTATCTTATCCAATCCAGCCTGCCCCATGGTGGTTGTGCCGACGGTTGTCCCGCGGTTGTCCGACAACAAATCGTGTTTCCGCGCCAGCGGCGGGCTTTCTCATTTTGTTTTTGAGGTCGGTTGTGAGATCGACAGTGAGATTCACCGATAGGTCGGTCGACGGATAGGTAGATAGTGGGATCTCATCGCCATCGCGATCATCATTGAGGTGGAGGGAGATGCTGATAGAGAGGGGGAGAGAGAGAGAGAGAGAGAGAGAGAGAGACAGAGAGAGAGAGAGAGAGAGAGAGAGAAAAAAAAAGAGAGAGAGAGCAAAAACAGAGAGAGAGGGAGGGCGAGAGAGAGAGAGAGAGCGAGAGAGAGAGAAAAAAAAAAGGGAGATAGAGAGAGAGAGAGAGAGATGATACCAAGGTGGAAGGCTGGAAGTCAGTCAGGGTGGGCATTTGATCTCAAGCCCCCCCCCCCCCCGCCTCCTTATCGCCCGCAGGGCGGTCGTATAGGTATATATCGGCGGTTGGGGGTGTGAGATCGCAGTGAAGCGGAGACCCCGCGCCGGGAAATCGGTTTCGGTTTCGCGTTCGCGTCGCGCGCGCGGACGAGGCGAAGCTGCGCGTGATCTTCCTGTAGCTAGGAGGCCGAAGTAGGAGCAAAAGTCCGTTTCCCGTCCGCTAGTGGCCGGGAGGTGTCCCAGTTGGGCCGGGCGGTGTCCCGGGTGTCCCGGGCATCCCGGGCGCCCCGGCGTTAATGCATGTCGCTACTTTCGTAATTCATTTGTTCGGCGCCCGCGGCGGGTCTTCTTATCGAACCCAGTTTATTTTATCCATTCCATTTTGTCCAATCCCATCCATCCTATTTTATCCAGCCCACCCTGTCCCATCTTATCCTATCCCACCCAATCCAATCCACCCGGCCCAATCTATCAATCCATTTGTTTCTGCGCCTGCGGCGGGCCAATTCAATCCATATTTTCATTTCCAATCAATCGTTTCCAGCCCAACCCATCTTATCTTATCCTATCCATATTATCCCATCCAATCCAATCCACACAACCCAATCCATCAATGAGTTGTTGTCGGCGCCTGCCTCGGGCTTTCTTGTCCAATCCAGCTTATCTTATCAAATCCACATTGCCCAATCAGATTCGGAGTATCTTATCCAACCATCTGCTCCTTTCCCACCCAATCCAATCCACCCAATACAATCCATCTTGTTTTATCCAATCCATCCCTTGCAACCCAACCCATCTTATCTTATCGCATCCAATCCAACCCACCCAACCCAATCCATCAATCCATGTTTGTCGGCGCCTGTGCGCGATCGCGGCAGACTGCGAGGCTCGAGCGTCCGGCGCCCTTGATTGTCCTGTGGCTGTCTGACAAAATATAGTTCCCCACATGTTTCGTGGGGTTCTGGTTTTCTTCCCTGCCGCGGCGCACCCGCGTCTCACCTCACACCTGCCGCGTCTCACCTCACACCTCCCCTCCTCCTCACAGCACTGCCACCGGAGGGGGTGCACATCGGGTGCGGTCTCTATGCGTTGCAGGCGCGCAGGGCACGGCAGGCGCGGCATTTTCTCGACACCAGGAGGGTGCGCAGGGGGTGCGGCCTCTATGCGTTGCAGGCGCGCAGGGCGCGGCAGGCGTGGTAATTCTCGACACCAGAGGGGGTGCACAGGGGGTGCGGTCTCTATGCGTTGCAGGCGCGCAGGGCACGGCAGGCGCGGCATTTTCTCGACACCAGGAGGGTGCGCAGGGGGTGCGGTCTCTATGCGCTGCAGGCGCGGCAGGCGTGGGAATTCTCGACACCAGAATGGGTGCACATCGGGTGCGGTCTCTATGCGTTGCAGGCCCGCAGGGCGCGGCAGGCGTGGGAATTCTCGACACCAGAGGGGGTGCACATCGGGTGCGGTCTCTATGCGTTGCAGGCGCGCAGGGCACGGCAGGCGTGGCATTTTCTCGACACCAGAGGGGGTGCACAGGGGGTGCGGTCTCTATGCGTTGCAGGCGCGGGTACGGCAGGCGCGGCATTTTCTCGACACCAGGAGGGTGCGCAGGGGGTGCGGTCTCTATGCGTTGAAGGCGCGCAGGGCGCGGCAGGCGTGGTAATTCTCGATACAGAGGGGGTGCACAGGGGGTGCGGTCTCTATGCGCTGCAGGCGCGCAGGGCACGGCAGGCGCGGTACTTTCTCGACACCAGGAGGGTGCGCAGGGGGTGCGGTTTCTATGCGCTGCAGGCGCGCAGGGCGCGGCAGGCGCGGCACTTTCTCGACACCAGGAGGGTGCGCAGGGGGTGCGGTTTCTATGCGCTGCAGGCGCGCAGGGCGCGGCAGGCGCGGTACTTTCTCGACACCAGGAGGGTGCGCAGGGGGTGCGGTTTCTATGCGTTGCAGGCGCGCAGGGCGCGGCAGGCGTGGGAATTCTCGACGCCAGAGGGGGTGAACAGGGGGTGCGGTCTCTATGCGTTGCAGGCGCGCATGGCACGGCAGGCACGGCATTTTCTCGACACCAGGAGGGTGCGCAGGGGGTGCGGTCTCTATGCGTTGCAGGTGCGCAGGGCATGGCAGGCGTGGGAATTCTCGACACCAGAGGGGGTGCACAGGGGGTGCGGTCTGTATGCATTTCAGGCGTGCAGGGCGCGGCAGGCATGGCAAAGTCTCGATAACAGAGGGGGGTGCGCGTGGGGTGCGGTCTCTATCCGTTGCAGGCTCGCACGGCGCAGCAGGCGTGCCATTTTCTCGACATCAGAGGGGGCGCGCAGGGAACGGCCACCAACATCATTCTCACATGCTTCTTTTCAGCTATCATCACTCCAGCCATAATATAAGTTTGTGGGGTTACTCGGTAGCGTAATGTTTCGCCGCCTGCGGCGGGCTTTCTCATTTTGCTTTTGAGGTCGATCATCGATAGTGAGATCGACAGTGAGATTCACCAATAGGTCGGTCGACGGATAGGTAGATAGTGGGATCCCGTCGTCATCGCGATCTTCATTGTGATGGAGGGAGACTCCGATAGAGAGGGAGACAGAGAGAGAGAGAGAGAGAAAACAAAAAAAGAGAAAAAGAGAAAGAGAGAGAGGGCGAGAGAGAGAGAGACAGAGAGAAACAGAGAGTTGAGATCAAGATGACAGGCCGGAGGTCAGTCAGGGTGGGCATTTGATGTCAATCCCGACCCCCAACCTTCTTATCGCCCGCAGGGCGGTCGTATATCTATATCTATATCTATATCTATATATATATATACATACACGCCTACGACCGCTCTTCGAGTGATAAGGAGGTTGCGGGGGGGGGAGGGGGAGGCAACGTCTGAGTCAACCGATCTCACTTTCGATCTCACTCAACGGAGCGCCACGGGACACCGCGGGACACTTGTCGATCTCATTATCGTTCTCACTATCGATCTCACTCAACGGCACACCACGGGACACCGCGGGACACCTCTCGATCTCATTCTTGGTCTCGCTATCGATGTCACTATCGACCCCATCCAACGGGACACCATAGGACACCACGGGACACTTCTGGACACCTCATCGATTTCACTATCGATCTCACTATCGATCTCGGTCAACTGGACATCAGGGAACACCACGGGACACCAATCGATTGCATTATCGATCTCACTTGTTGGGGCACCACGGGACATTTCGGGGCACCACATCGATCGCACTATCAATCTCACTATCGATCTCACTATCGATCGCACTCAACGGGACACCACGGGACACCTGTCGATCTCACTAACGATTTCACTATCGATCTCACTGTACGGGACACCACGGGACACTTCGGGGCACCAGATCGATCGCACGATCGATATCATTATCGAGCTCATTATCGACTTCTTTCAACGGGACACCACGGCACACCACTGGACACCGCGGGACACCAGTGGCCACCGCCGGACGGGCGGGCGGGGGAGAATCAGTTGTCCTGACTTCGCCCTGGCAACGGCGGACATCACGGGACACCACGGGAAACCGCGGGACACCGGTGGCCACCGCAGGATGGGCGGGCGGGGGATAATCATTTGTGTTGACTTCGCCGTAGCAGCGGCGGGTTCATCCCTTTCGCGCGCCCACGCAGCTTCGCCTCGCCCGCACGCACGACACGAACGAAGCGAAACAATTTCCCGGTTGGGGGTTTCCGTTTCTTTGCGATCTCACCCCCCAATTTCTGATACATGTGTCTATGCTAGCCGCGCGCGGAGGTTTCCCGTGGTTGGCCGCCATGCCTTTGCTGACCGTGTGCGGAGGTCTCCCGCGGTCAGCCTATGCGCATTGTTATATTTGCTCTGTTTGCGAAGGCTGTCCGAAAAAAAGGATCGCTCTCCTCATTTCTCTACTAGTGCGTTGCTCGTATATTAGTCAATGTTTATTTTGGCGTGGTTCGGAGCTCGGTTCTCCCCCTCCTGACTTTGAACGAAGGTCAAGAGGCAACGGTGAGCATCGCGAGCGCCGTGCCTACGTCCGACGCCGCTTGGCTCAAGCGGCGCCTCTCTATGTGACTACGCCATTCGTGGCGTACCATCGCACCTGAGTAACGCAAAAGAAGACGGCCACCTTCGATGGTGCATACTCCTATCTCTCGCCCGATCCCTTTATTTTCCTACCTATTCTGCAGCACGGGGTAAGCAATGGGATACCCTTGTACGTATACGACGTTGTCATAAGCGGGGTCTCGGCTTACGCCCTCCTGACCCTTGCTGTTCATATTTTTGCCCCTGCTTCGCCCAGTTCTGCTATCCCCCTTCCCCGCGGGTGCTGTTGATGCTGCGGCCGCCTCCGCCGCTGTGGCCCGCGCAGGGCGTGACGCACCAGCACCTGAGCGACCACCTGTCCGAGGAGAGCGGGCCCGCAATGGAGGGGGACTTACCCTCTTGCCGCCCTTGCTCTTCGAACTGTTCGTCGGGATGCCTCATCTTCCAGCCGCCGCGGATCGATCCGCAGACCGCCGGAATTCGCCGAGAGCCGCTGAAGCAGAAGACTCCCCGTTTCGGCCTCATCGATGGTCAGTGGAGGTGGCCCCGCGTGGCGCGCCAGCCGGTGGTTCACCTCCACCGGGCCCCCGGAGGCACGGCGAGTCCCGAGGCAGGCGGTCGTGGCGAGAGCAGCTGGCGGAGCGGCAAAGAAGATAATACATGCCGATGCCGACGCTGTTTGGTCCAGTTTGCCTTTCTGGGCGTTCAGGGGTGCCTCGCCGCCACAGCTGCATTTGCTCAGACATCCGAGTCCGAACGCACTCTCACTGGTTCAAGGCAGTGGCGGTGTCGGAACGCAGCGGCATTCAACATCGGCGGATGGGTTTCTGAGAGGCGGGAGTTCTTCTCACTTTGGGGGACGATCCATGGAACGTAGGCTAGCCCGAAGTCGGTCTGTCTCGTTGATCCCCGTCGATGAAGCTGGGGCCCTTGGCAGCCCTTAGCACACTACACTACACATATGGAAGCGTATACCAAACAGATCATTATACATAAATGTTTGCCCGCGTGGACACCGGTAGCAGCTTACGCTATGCCGTGAACGCTATGCGGTGTAATGTGTAATGCAAGTTTTGTGGTGCTAGCTAGGTTGTTTAAGCTATGTGGTCTAATCGATGTGGTTCAATGGAGCAAGCTGTGCGGTGCAAACTTGATAGTAGGCGATACGTGGTTCAAGCTTTGTGACGCAAGCTATTTGACGCAAGTTAGCCTAAGCTACGGGCTTTACTATCGCCGCGATCCCAGAGATGAATTGCCCCACATGATGACTGAAGTACCTCCCTGAAGTAATAGTTCTCGCACACCGAATTTGAAACGTCCGAACCTACCTTATTCTCCTTCGAAATTCCGCGTGCATCCGTACATCCGTGCATTGCGCATCCGTGCGCTACATATCACACGCCTTCACACCCCTTACAAGCGGAGGCTGGCGGATTATCCCCACCCTGTGATGATCGGGGGCACAGGGTTCTGTGAAGTGGTGTACCTGTGTGGTGGGTGTTGTAGCTTTGTGGTGCACGCTGCGTAGTGCAATCTACCTGGCGCAAGCCGTGTGCTGAATTCGATGTGTTGCATCCTATGAGGAGAAATGTATGTGGTGCATCCTGGCTAGGTTGTGCAAGCTGTGTGGTGCAAGCTATGTAGTGCAAACTGTATGCATCCATGTAGGTGGTGCAAGCTTTGGGGCGGTAGCTATGTGGTGTAAGTTGTATGACGCAAGCTACGCGGTGCAATCTATGTCGTGTAGGCTATATAGTGCACAATGTGTGGTGCAATCTTAGTTGTGCCAGTATTGTGGTGCAAGATATGTGGTGAAAGCTGCATGGTGCGGTTTCTGTTGTGCAAGCTGAGTTGTGCAAGCTATTTGGCGCAAGCCAGCGCACGGGAAGCCCACGAAGCGCCCACGGTTGTTCACCAGCCAAAATGTGGAAATCCCAGCTGGCGCACGTGGGCGCCTACGACTCGCACGCGGCCGGGCACAAGCTGAACGTCTGGAAATCCCAGCCAGCGCTCGGGGCGCCCACGAGTCGAAAACCCAGAAATCCCAGCCAGCGCATGGAGCGCCAGCGAGGCGCCCAAGGCACAGCGCCTGCAGAAACATGTGGGAGTGTTGTTCCATGTCTTTAGAAATCAAGTAAACCCCACAGGTGCAACCACTCTTTGGGGAACAATCGCACGCGCTCGTGCTCCTTCGCTGGAGGGCCCATACTGGTACTGCCTCAGTGATTGTGTCGCAGCTGGCTAGATGATGTCATCGCGTGCTTCCCAAATAATGACCCTGTGCAATATGGGAGAGGCAGGGTATCAGCACGGTGCAAAGAACTTTGGGCATCCTTGTGTGACCACCTCCCATGCTCGTGCAAACATCACCCACCCACTCGCAAGCCGTTGGCAAAGTTAAAAAGGACAGTGAAGTGTTCGCACATACCAGATGCCTGGACGCTGCTCATTCAGTTCCATGATTCGTGCGTGCGGGTGATGATGGTTAGGACGACACCGGCGACGACGACGCTGGTGATGGCGATGGTGGTGGCGATGATGACGCGGGCAACGATCACGACGATCATGAGGACGCTGTTGGTGCTGACGACGACGGCGACGACGCTGGTATTGATGATGATGATGTTGATGGTGATGACGATGGCGATGGCAATGATGACGTTGGCGAAGATGACGACGACTGTGATGCAGAGGGTGGTGAGGAGGAACGCTCACAGAAATTACGCCAGCTGTTCCCTGCAAACCGTGCTGCCCCCATACGCTCTTGAACACGTCTACCTTTCATAATTTGACATGGTAGAAATTGGATTAACAGATAATTTCAGGGAGTGCGCGCACAAGAAACCCGACAGGTCTTTATTGGAAACAGGTTTGTTTTGCATGGCCGTTTTTTTTTTAATTTAGTGTATCGGGACCGTTGTTGCTGTAAGCGTGTTGGCATGGGCGCGCGGGAGTGGCCGCATGATATTTCGAGATTTGGGGACGCAGTGCGTAAGCGCGATCAATACGAATGCTCCGCATTTTATGATGTGGAAAAGGGGAGTCAACCAGGGGGCTGGCTTGTATGATATCACTTTAGTGTTAACTGCATGACCACGCAGAATGAACAATTCCAGTGCCAATTCGCGGAACAGGGCCGTCTAGACCAGTTTCTGCATGGGGGTCGAGTTGCATGATCTGCTGCAGGCAGGATATTCGGAGTTCATTATACGATGCGCAACCCATGGGATCCTTGAGGCGTACAAGGCGAGGTGCACTTGATTATGAAAATAGCGATTCCGCCGAAACCATGGCCGAGTAACCATCTCATCCACCTACCCGCAACGCGTTGGCAACACCAAATTGGCGCATTGGCGCGAGAGTCTTTCTCATGCGGATCCACGGTTCAGGCAGGCTGGTGATGGTTGAGACGGCGACCTCGGCGACAGCGACGACGATGGTGGTGGCGTTGATGACGAGGGCGGCGGCAGTGACGATGAGGATGATGAAGGTGATGACGGCATCGGTGACGCCGACGATGACAATGATGATGCATGTGATACTGATTGTGGCGATGATGACAGGTGTGAGATAGTGCATGTGTCACGTGTGTATATGCACCACTTGCTGCCGTTTGACCTCTAGGGCCCCCTTTGTGCCATTGCGCTAAAACGCAGAATGATCACACTGGTGTCGGAGCTACCACGAGATCCCCGCATTTTTCCATTGCGCGCACGTCTCGCAAGAGAGCGTCGCCCCACTCACTTTCCGCGCTGGCAGCTTCCCTCGCTAGGGGGCGGAGCCTGGCGCCATGGCACCTTCTTCTCTTCGCTATCGGCCGAGCGCCGACGCGCTGACGCGGTCCGATGCGAAGAGTGGCTCCTACATCTACGACGGCACGGTGAACAACTTTCACGAGTGGGAATTCCGCACAGCGACGCGCATGCGCGCCGCCTTGGCCTCAATGGATCAAGAGACGGGCGCGCCACAGCAACGCGCGATCACCGCAGCTGTCAACCAGGCTGTAGAAGGCTTCAGAGGTGACGCATTCGATATTGCCATGGCTATCGGCGAGGACGTGCTTCTGATTCCGAATGGGATCGATCAGTTGGTGCTGGCGATTCGCATTGGCGCAGGAAGCGAAGATGCTGTTCCAGGAGGGGCAGATACCATCTGTACCACTGTCTCGGCAGCACGGTGAGTCTATGGTCTCGTACATCTTCCGAAGGCAGCGTTGGTGGAAACTTGTGTCCAAGGTAGGTCCCGAGATCTTGATGGGCGACGATGTGCTTGGCCCCCTTCTCTTGGACCATGCAGGCCTCTCGCCCGCGGAGAATCTGATGGCGTTGACATCCACGGGAAAAGTAACAACCTTCGGCAAGATCAAAGACGTCTTGATCCTCCAGCACGGCCGCGCGCACATCCGCCAAAGAGGCAAGGGTGAGTCTGGCAAATCGGGGGCAAGATTTCGACGCCCACCCCGCAATACAGATGCCAATGAATTCTCATTACTCGCGACGCGAAAACTGCCTCGGGCCCAACTATGCCGACTTCGGGGGGTCGCAGGGGGCGTCTTGGACGAGTGGCTGACGCTTCGCGGAGGCCGCCTTCGCGGGGGCCCAGCGAGCCCGCCGACTGCGCGCGGCCATGCAGGTTGCCGCCGGCATTGATGATGCTCGTGCTCGTCTGCACGGGCGGGGCCGGCCCTCGCGAATCCGCGGTTTTTCCAGAGGCGCTTCGATCTTCCGCGGGGCAGCGGGCGCCAAACAAACATGATGCACACCCGCCGAAACGAAGTGCACGCCCACCCAGAAATTTACACACCCGAGCGAAACATTAAAACATGTTTCAAGAAAGCGACGCATACACCCACCAGTGCACCGAATATTGGCGTAGGTCTAGAGACGAAAACCCTCTGGCGCTGAGTCGCCTTGTCAGTGCCCGCGGCGAGAGCCGCGTTGCTGGCTGATATCAGCCAGCCGCGGATTGCCTGGGCGTGCTCCAGGGCGGAAGCTTCAGGTTTGCGCGGCCCCGCGCGCGTGGCTTGTTCGGGCCTGTCTTGCCGACGATGGAATTTCGATGTCAGGGTATCATCCAGGGCCGTGCACGGGCTCTGCCGAATATATGCGTACGTGGGCGCTGTAAGTCAGGGTGGTCGTGGATATTTATTTCCCCACGCAAAGGCCCCAGCTCTTCGACGTGGACGCAGCCCGGACCCAGCTATCAAAATTGGAGCATGGGCAAGTGCAAGGCGATCTTCTCCAGGCCACTACTCGTCTGTTAACTTGCCGATGATGGGTGGTGCGAGCAGGCCATGCGCTGCGCGTCCGGCCATGCGCCAGAGCGCGGCCGGGGCGACGCGGCCCGGGGCGACTGCGCCGACGAG